GACACGGACTAGCATTCGAGCTTGACTCTCACTCTCTCTTTCTCTCTCTCTCTCTCTCTCTCTCTCTCTCTCTCTCTCTCTCTCTCTGTCTCTCTCTCTCTCTCTCTCTCTCTCTCTCTCTCTCTCTCTCTCTCTCTCTCTCTCTCTCTCTCTCTCTCTCTCTCTCTCTCCCTTAGTTCACTACAATGGATATCTTGAATACTCGGAGGAGCCGTTTGACTCAAGTCGCCTTCGTGATGAGCAGCACTTGTTCCGACTGGGTCAAGGTATGTGCCAGTGTTTCACCACAGTAGTATATGTCGAGCCGGTTCTTTGATTGGCACATGCCCTGCCCGGAAAATGGGGTATTATCAAGAGTACATGAAAACCAGAGTGTGCAGCTTGGGGCCTTTTCTGCTATGGGTGTCTGTCACGGCGGAATTCCGTGATTACATCATATTTGGCGCAGATCTGAGGCGGGAAATGGCGTAGTGCGTACAACTGAGCTGCAGTTGTGCAGAAAGAGACCTGCTTGAATCCTGCTTGTACGCACTACATCACTAAGGGGCCGTCCGTAAATATCGAACTTTTTTCACCAAACGAATTATTTTAGTTTAGACCCAACCCCTCCCTCCCTCCCCCTCAGAACGTAAAAACATGTTGAGATATACATGCGTATACAACAAAAGTCGCAAGTGTGTCACTGCTCCTACGGCCATGTACATGTATCGAAGTTTTCTGAAACGAAATTGGTCAACCCCCTCCCACCCCATAACGAAATTGTTTCGTTTCGTGAAAAAAGTTCGATAATTATGGACGACCCCTAAAATGATGTAATCACGGAATTCCGCCGTGACAGCCACCGATCCGAGCTGCACACTCTGGTTTTCATGTACTCTTGGTATTATTGATAGTACCCCATTTGGGGGGTAAGAAATGGGCACCCTGTTTTTTTACATGAAAAATGATTTTGAGGGTGTTGGAGGTTCAACCGGTGGGGGTAAGACCCTCTGATTCTGGGATGGATTATTGAAAACAATGAATGAAAACTCATAGATTTGCATTATTTTGAACTGTATTTTCAAATATTCGGCTCGTTTTTTCGTTGCTAGTTCCATCTTCTTCTATCTTCACGCATTCCATGGTAATTTCAAGCTTCATTACCTTGGTAGCTCTCGTCTTGACTCCATCGCTTCAGCTTCAACCACTTTCATATCAGAGAGTCGAAGGCATTTGCGTTCATTGATTAGTTTGACGATCCGGATAAATTCCTTAACGTCAACATCTTCAGCCTCAACGCTGCATGGATACGTTGCATCACTTCTTCATTTTAAAATGTAACGAGACACCCTGAAATACGATTCTTCGGGTTCCAACATGATGTGGAGTAACACCGAGTCGTCCGCTTCCAATAAATCGCCAAAGTCGGTGACACCACTATGTGCAGGGATGAGGATTGGACAATGTCCATCCTGGAAATGGCCCTGGCTGAATCGAATACAGAATTCACCAGCAGCAGTGGGTGTTAAATAGTGTCTGGAATTCTGACCCTCTCCAAGAGCTTCTAATTATACTCTGTTGAAAGAAGAAGCAAAGTGCTTGACTTGTCATCCGGAAACACTCGAAATAAGATCTAGATGTCTACATGCTGCACCGGCTCATTGAATGGGGGGGGGGGGGGGTCCGTTGTCGACCAAAGGATCGAAATCGGTCAGACTTGCGGAATTCTTCCGATCCTCGACGTGGCTCTGGCAAGGAGAGCATCGCTGCCCCAGCCATCAAGACGGCGAAGGCATCGCACTGGGCTCCAGGTTCAGCTCGGTGTGCAGTGCGGGACGATGAGACGTGAAATGTCACGAATTATCCAAACCGACGATAAGTCGCCACAGCTGGCAGACTGCGCTGGAGCGATATCTCAAACGATTTCATTGATGACTCCTTCTGTACTTTCACAAGAGTCATGTGCAGTCAAGGCAACTGACACCCGTCGACTGTCAGCATTTCACAACCGCTGTTCTCGCTTTATCCTTGACGTCAGCAAGTCGGAGCAACCGTTGACAAGAAAAAAAATGGAAAGACATGTCATCGCTCACACTCTCTACGGACCATTCCAGGCATTGTGTATTCCAGGCATTGCCTTGAATACACAATTATGGAGAAGTTGATAACCTCTGCCATACTGGCTAGAGAATGTTTGCCGGAACAGCCATCGATTAATTTGTCTGGGTTCTTTTTTTTCTTGTCAACGATTGCTCCGACTTGCTGACGTCAAGGATATAGCGAGAACAGCGGTTGTGAAATGCTGACAGTCGGCGGGTGTCAGTTGCCTTGACTGCCCATGACTCACAGCCGTAAAGTAACGTTGAGAGGACGACTGCGGAGTAAACGTGAATCTTGTTTCGCACGGAGATGTGGTGGTTCCCGAAGACAGCAGAACGCAGGGCACCGAAAGACCGGGAAGGTTTGTCAAGACTTGAAGACACCTCAGCCGACAACTGGCCATCGCCTGCAATACAGCTCTAGTCGTGTGACTGTGCTGTCTTGCATGGTTGCAGCAGCAGCAGCAGGCCGAAGAGCTAAGATGGTGCTGGCTGTGGCAGAAACTGCCGGAATCCTATGAGCGATGTTAGTGATAGCCCCAAGTGGCAGCGTCGTCTCCGAGCTAGATGCTAGTATCAACCGGGCTTTCTCGGGCAGCTGCTGAATAAAAAGTTCACGGAAGATGCCCCGCCATCCATCGTGTGGTCAGCCAATAACTGCTACATCCGCCGTCGTAACAGCTGTGTTGGCATAAGAGAAGGAAAATGTGTATGTAAACTGTGTGTGTGCATGCACAGTACACTGTCTGCCTAGTCAACTGACCGCTAAAGCTACGGGTACAGGTATAGTGCCGTCATCGTGCATATCAGCTGCCGCCTCAGCTCTGCCGCTTGCTGCGATCCAGTGTCCTGTGCAGAAAGCCCAAGATCACCAAAATTGGCCAAAGGACACCAAAGTTACGACGAGATAAGTAACTGGGCTTGCGTACCTAGTGCTTTCCTTGAAATTATCTGGAGTCCTAAAGGGTTAACGCCCGATCGTATTTCAACAAACGTCAGATAATACTATATTATGCCGTTTTGATGTTCACATGTTGTTGTTGTCGCCGCCGCTGTCGCTGTTGTTGTTGTTGTTGTTGTTGTTGTTGTTGTTGTTGTTGTTGTTGTTGTTGTTGATGTTGTTGTCTTTGTTGTTGCTGTTGTTGTTGTTGTTGGTTGCTCATGCCATTACAGGTGAATGTCTTCTTGGCTGGCAGATTGGAGTGTCAACAATGCGCAAGGGAGAGGTTGCTCAATTTCTCATCAGCCCCGAGTATAGCTACGGGGAAATGGGCTGTCCACCCAGGATCCCTGCCAAGGCAACCAGTAAGCGCTTAGCTGCTGCCATGGTGTGTGTGTGTGTTGTGTGTGTGTTGTGTGTGTTGTATGTGTGTGTGTCTGTGTTTGTTGTGTGTTTGTGTGTGTCTGTGTGTTGTGTGTGTCTCTGTGTGTGTCTGTGTGTGTTTGTTGTGGGGGGGGGGGGGGGGATTGGGCAGTCTCTAGCACCTGTCGCTAATCTTCATCTAGTCCGTTTACAACAGAAAGGTTGCAGGCTGTCTAAAAGAGTGCTCGATGCCCAGGGGCAGAACTACTTACCACAAGTAGAAGAGGGTGAACAATTCGTTGCGACTCTGTGAGTTTCACGCACTAGGCGATGTGCTTTGTGGATATTATACCGTATTTTCCGGGGTACAGTCGTCCCTCTCTAATCCGGCACTTGTTTATCCAGCACCCTTGCAAACCAGCACACTTTCTGGCAAAACGGATTTCTTCAGTTCATTTTCTACGCTTTAATCCGGCACTTGAATTCCGCCTCCAGCAGCGATTTTCTGCAACAAATCACTCAAACTGTGCATAATTCGATTTTCTAATCCGGCAGTTGTACATCACATACTGTCAAGGAGCATTGTAACATACACAACACCAAGAGTTCATAACTATGAACTCTTGACAACACATGTAACATACACTTGGGAATATCCTATGCTAGTGTATGTTATAGACATGCATTCCACAAAGTACTTGGATTGACACAGAAAATTGCTACGTTTTGACGTACGACACAAACATGGATGTTTTAATAGGTGGGCCGGGTTGGAGGGAAGGATTTGATAATCCAGCACCCTTGTTTATCCAGCAGAAAATTCCGTTGCAAAAGGTGCCGGATTAGAGAGGGACGACTGTATAAGCCGCATTGCATTATAAACCTCACCCAGATTTGTTTTCACAAAATACACCCATCTACCATGGTTACCGTACTTGCGCGATTAGAGCCCTCTCTTGAATAGTGCCCCAGTATCTCGAATAGTCTCTAAGAGCCAGTGAAAATGATACCCTCTCTTGAAAATGAGTATGTAATATTGTCACGTTTCCCTCCAACATACCTATGTTCTATGGGACTACAGTTTCGTGTTCTCGTGATTCGACATTCCATTGAAAGTTGTTCACGAATTGCTGAGTGCCGTGTGTGTGTCCACGTGTGTGTCCACGTGTGTGTGTGTGTGTCCACGTGTGTGTGTGTGTGTGTGTCCACATGTGTGTGTGTCCACATGTGTGTGTGTCCACATGTGTGTGTGTGTGTGTGTGTGTGTGTGTGTGTGTGTGTGTGTGTGTGTGTGTGTGTGTGTGTGTGTGTGTGCATGTGTGTGTGTGTGTATGTATGTATGTATGTGTGTGTACAGTGTTGTTTGAGATTGAAATGCTGCAGTATATTGATCACAAAGCAGCTGACGACTTTGCCGATTTCTCAAAAGTAAGTATATGTACTGCAGTGTTCGGGGTAGTTGCGGTTGTATATGTGACTGTGTCAGGGTCCGCACCACTCCTTGAATTCCTTGAAAGTCCTTGAATGTCAAAGCCGGATTTGAAAGTGCTTGAATATCCTTGAATTTTCGTGTGGGTGCTTGAATTTTTGAAAAAAGTGAGTTTTTCCTTGATTTTGGGTTTGAATGCGGTAGATCTACTCACGTTCATGCAGTAGGTCTACGCGCACTGCTGGGTACCCGTAACCGGTACTGTAGTCCGTAGATCTAGTACCAAGAGTGGATCCACTCTTGGTAGTACTGATAGGGATCTCAGCGCGTGAGCTGCGCAGCCTGTTTGCGCAGGTGAGATTTTCGATCCCAAACGCGTCCAGTGCAGAAACCCTGAAAAATAACATTTTTTTCGAAATATATCAAGTTGAAGAAGACGGTAGAAATGGCTGAATATTGCGTCCAGGAAAGCACGTTCTACGGCCATTTCCAAGCTACCTATCTCCCAGGCACTCTCTCAGAGGAATTATGGAGGGTCAAAGAGCACAATAGTTCACTCTTGGACGCAGCGTGAACACCTCTTCTTCTGAGCGCGATGTCTTCTCTCTGAGTGATAATGGCGGCGATGTTCCAACCAACGGCTAGCCCACCAACTAATGTCCTTGAATGTCCTTGAAAAAATGGGGTTTGGGGCCCTTGAAAACCCTTGAATAATATTTTCATGACTTGGTGCGAACCCTGCTGTGTGTGTATGCGTGTGTGTGTGTGTGTGTGTTTGTGTGTGTGTGTATGCGTGTGTGTATGCGTGTGTGTATGCGTGTGTGTGTGTGTGTGTGTGTGTGTGTGTGTGTGTGTGCGTGTGTGTACATGTGTGTGCATGTGTGTATTTATGTGTGTGTGTGTCTGCGTGTGTGTGTCTGCGTGTGTGCATGTATGCGTGTGTGCATGTATGCGTGTGTGTGTGTGTGTGTGTGTGTGTGTGCGTGTGCGTACGTGTGTGTGTGCAAGCCAACATGTCATGGATGGGAGACACCTGGGAAAGTGTGTGCATAGCTGTCACTTGCACCAACCTACATTACTGCACTGATATGTATTAGCACAGCATGACAAGCTGCATGTACACTGTAGCTATATTGGCCTGCGCCACTCAACCGCCGTATTTGCCAGAGTATAACTCGCACCGGAGTATAGTGCGCACCCCCTTCCCCCCCCCCCTTTTTGGAGCAACGCTTAAGGTATATGCATATCCGGAGTATAATGCGCAGCCTTAGATTTCAGAGAGTTATCAATCAGAAAGGCAGTGCTGTAGTGCAACCATTGTCAGAATGTCTCATAAGAGTATTGATGCGTACGTTTGTATAATGTACATGCTACAGTTGTGGGTGTCGTACTCATCATGATTTACCCCAGTGTAGCTGGGCTGTGCTACAGTTGTGGGTGTCGTACTCATCATGATTTACCCCAGTGTAGCTGGGCTGTGCTACAGTTGTGGGTGTCGTACTCATCATGATTTACCCCAGTGTAGCTGGGCTGTGCTACAGTTGTGGGTCTCGTACTCATCATGATTTACCCCAGTGTAGCTGGGCTGTGTTACAGTTGTGGGTCTCGTACTCATCATGATTTACCCCAGTGTAGTTGGGCTGTGCTACAGTTGTGGGTCTCGTACTCATCATGATTTACCCCAGTGTAGCTGGGCTGTGCTACAGTTGTGGGTGTCGTACTCATCATGATTTACCCCAGTGTAGCTGGGCTGTGCTACAGTTGTGGGTCTCGTACTCATCATGATTTACCCCAGTGTAGCTGGGCTGTGCTACAGTTGTGGGTGTCGTACTCATCATGATTTACCCCAGTGTAGCTGGGCTGTGCTACAGTTGTGGGTGTCGTACTCATCATGATTTACCCCAGTGTAGCTGGGCTGTGCTACAGTTGTGGGTCTCGTACTCATCATGATTCACCCCAGTGTAGCTGGGCTGTGTTACAGTTGTGGGTCTCGTACTCATCATGATTTACCCCAGTGTAGTTGGGCTGTGCTACAGTTGTGGGTCTCGTACTCATCATGATTTACCCCAGTGTAGCTGGGCTGTGCTACAGTTGTGGGTGTCGTACTCATCATGATTTACCCCAGTGTAGCTGGGCTGTGCTACAGTTGTGGGTCTCGTACTCATCATGATTTACCCCAGTGTAGCTGGGCTGTGCTACAGTTGTGGGTGTCGTACTCATCATGATTTACCCCAGTGTAGCTGGGCTGTGCTACAGTTGTGGGTGTCGTACTCATCATGATTTACCCCAGTGTAGCTGGGCTGTGCTACAGTTGTGGGTCTCGTACTCATCATGATTTACCCCAGTGTAACTGGGCTGTGCTACAGTTGTGGGTGTCGTACTCATCATGATTTACCCCAGTGTAGCTGGGCTGTGCTACAGTTGTGGGTGTCGTACTCATCATGATTTACCCCAGTGTAGCTGGGCTGTGCTACAGTTGTGGGTGTCGTACTCATCATGATTTACCCCAGTGTAGCTGGGCTGTGCTACAGTTGTGGGTGTCGTACTCATCATGATTCACCCCAGTACCAGTGTAGCTGGGCTGTGCTACAGTTGTGGGTGTCGTACTCATCATGATTTACCCCAGTGTAGCTGGGCTGTGCTACAGTTGTGGGTGTCGTACTCATCATGATTTACCCCAGTGTAGCTGGGCTGTGCTACAGTTGTGGGTGTCGTACTCATCATGATTTACCCCAGTGTAGCTGGGCTGTGCTACAGTTGTGGGTGTCGTACTCATCATGATTTACCCCAGTGTAGCTGGGCTGTGCTACAGTTGTGGGTTTCGTACTCATCATGATTTACCCCAGTACCCAGTACCAGTGTAGCTAGTGTAGCTGGACAGTACATACTTACTATTACACACATATGGTTTAGGACTGGTCAGAGGTGGTAAACTAATAGTTTGAGGCATTGCACTACTTTTCGATGTGCAAAGTACATGATTGTATTTTCAATTTTTTCATATTCGGAGCATAGTGCGTACCTGTGATTAGGGCCTGAAAGAGCATATCTATTAAAGGTGCGCACTATACTCCAGCAGATACGCTACTATAAGTCTACAAATGTTCAGCCCATTCAAATTTCGGCATCCCAGGGCTAAAACCCCTTTCGGCCACATCAAATTTTCTGCCTGTACTGCTGCCACCTATACACTGTCACACTGAACATTGGAAAATAAATTTCAGCCGCAACGAATTTTCGGCCAAATATGACCAGGCCGAAAATAGCCGAAAATAAATATGCTGAACCGACATTTGTGTACTTTGTTCATGCAATGTAAAAACGGTGGAGACGATGTGCAATAAAACGATGAAAATATGAAGAAATGGTGTAGAGAAAAAATATGACGAGTGTTGTACAAAAACTTGTTTGAATCCATATTTTTTCTCTACACCATTTCTTCATATTTTCATCGTTTTATTGCACATCGTCTCCACCGTTCTTACATTGCATGAATAAAGTACACAAATGTCGGTTCAGCTAATTTTATTGATTGCGGTTATCAAATTATTGTCTCCTCGCCGTTTGTTTAAATAAATATGCGGCGAATATTTGTTGACTTACTGTAAGTCTCTCTCTCTCTCTCTCTCTCTCTCTCTCTCTCTCTCTCTCTCTCTCTCTCTCTTCTCTCTCTCTCTCTCTCTCTCTCTCTCTCTCTCTCTCTCTCTCTCTCTCTCAGGAGGAAAAGCAAGCTGCCCCATTTGAGCAAATCCTGGCTGTGATCAATGCAGAACGGGAGGTAGGAGCAGCCCAAAGCGTGTGTGCTTGAGTGTGTGTATTTGTGTGTGTATTTGTGTGTGTATTTGTGTGTGTGTGTGTGTCTGAGTGTGTGTCTGTGTCTGTGTGTGTGCTCGAGTGTTTCTGTGTGTGTGTCTGTGTCTGTGTGGTGTAGACCAGGTGTGCATTGGTGGTCGATTAACATGGCTTCGCAGGTTGTGTGGATTGGGCAGTTATCTGGCGCTAGTCTTGATCTGTCTCGTTCGGATCTTGTCCGCTATCGTTGCTATGAGAAAATCTGTGGGTGCACATCCAGTGCATTTTTCAGATTTCCGTGCTTCTCTTGCGACGGACGTATACATGGTATACATGGCATGTGGTGTGTGTGTGTGTGTGTGTGTGTGTGTGTGTGTGTGTGTGTGTGTGTGTGTGTGTGTGTGTGTGTGTGTGTGTGTGTGGTTTGTGTGGTGTGGGTGGGTGTGTGGTGTGTGTGTACGCATTCATTCATTGTTCGTACAGGCTGGTAATGACTTCTTCAGCCGTAAGATGATCAGCAAGGCCATGAGCAAATATGGAAGGGTAAGAATGGGCATGGTACGCTGCTATGGTCTTAGCTGCTAATGCTGCTGCTGCCCCTGATGCCCGTGATGCTGCTGATGCTGCTGCCCCTGATGCTGCTAATGCTGCTAAGGCTACTGATACTAATGCTGCTGGTGCTGACCCTGATGCTGCTAAGGCTGCTAAGGCCACTGATGGTGCTGCTAAGGCTGCTAAGGCCACTGATGGTGCTGCTGATGCTGCACCTTATGCTGCTGATGCTGCACCTTATGCTGCTGTTGGTAATGTTGCTAATGCTGCTGATGCTGCACCTTATGCTGCTGATGCTGCTGACCCTGATGCTGCTAATGCTGCTATGGCTACTGATGCTGCTAATGCTGCTGCTGCTGCTAATGCTGCTGCTGCGGCTGCTGATGCTAATCCCAGCGCCACAAGTTGCCATGGCTTCTGCTGTAGCATCGCTATCAAGTATCATTGCCTCCGGCAATAGCCATCATCAAAGGGCAAGCCAGTGTTGCCAGTGTTTGTTACCGCTGCACCATGAGATATTGCTATAAATACAATTGACAATTACGTATCGTCCCTCTGTTGTGGTTGTGCGTAGGCTATCGGCCTTCTGGAGAACATCAACTTACATAGCGAGCAAGAGGAGCACATCTGGAAACAGGCCCTGCTCAAGCTTTACCTCAACATATCGCTGTGTTGCATCAAGCAGACGAAGTCCGTCAGAGCTCTCATGTATTGTCGCAAGGTGAGCACTTTTTATTAACAGTAGAATGTGTGTGTGGGGGGGGGGGGGGGGGGGCAGTGTCTGCTCTAGGATTGTAGGACAGCCAGGTACACGTGTACCTGGCGCAACCATTTCAACCGGGTTGGAGCCGGGTACACATGTACCTGGCGCTGTCTCACCAGCCGAGTCACATGCTTTAACTGGTTGGTTGGTTTATTTTAATTCGGACAATAAACGGGAACTAGGCCCAATGAAATAAAGGCGAATGGCTAAGCCGCATTTAGAAAAAGAGAGGACAGGAATTAGAAAATTACGAAAGAAGAAGAAGAAGTATCTGACACATACAAGCCATGTAGTTAGTCCTTTCAAAGTTCGAAAGTGTAAAGTACTCGTACCAACCGGGTCACGGGTGACCCGGTACTATCTTTTCAACCGGGTGCAAGCGCCGCCCAACCGGGTGGATTACCCGACTCACCCGGCGCTGGAGCAGACACTGGGGGGGGGGGGGGGGGGTGTTTGTCTGTGTGTGTGGGGGGGGGATGTTTGTCTGTGTGTGTGTGTGGGGGGGGGGATGTTTGTCTGTGTGTGTGTGTGGGGGGGGGGGATGTTTGTCTGTGTGTGTGTGTGGGGGGGGGGGGATGTTTGTCTGTGTGTGTGTGTGGGGGGGGGGGGATGTTTGTCTGTGTGTGTGTGTGGGGGGGGGGGATGTTTGTCTGTGTGTGTGTGTGGGGGGGGGGGATGTTTGTCTGTGTGTGTGTGTGGGGGGGGGGGGGGGGATGTTTGTCTGTGTGTGTGTGGGGGGGGGGGATGTTTGTCTGTGTGTGTGTGGGGGGGGGGGGGGATGTTTGTCTGTGTGTGGACGTATGCGTGTACATGGTATTACCGTACTGGCAATATATGTTGCCGCAGTGAGGCCATGAAGCGTTACATTGGCACATGTTTGCCGCACGCAGGGCGTTACATGCAAAGTCGCACAGGAGCCGTTACACAGGTTTCTATATTGCCGCAGTCCTTTTATTGCCGCATCACTTTTTTGCTATTGCCGCATCACTTTTTTGCTTTTGCCGCATCACTTTTTCTTTTCATCCACATTGAAGGCACAGAAATTCAGTTGCTATCCAACTGTTACAAACCCGACGGCAAAGGGCGACAACGATATCAATACAAGACTGTATATTTTAACTATCAGAGTGCAAAACGACCTCGGGAAAGAAGAAACCATTGAGATCGCCAACCACTGAATGATGCGCCTTCGAGTGTCAGGACTTCCTGCTGCGTCCAGTTTTGAACTTTTCACCACGCGGTACACGTGCTTTCACAGTTTTCAGCCTTTTTTTGCAGTGCAAACTGCAATGAAAAGATCGTCGCACCCCGCCGGACGCGCGTTACGAACTCAACGAAAATTTGTCGCACTAGCCTGGTCGCGCGTTACGCCGCACCCCCCTGCGTTACGCGTTACGCGGCAACATATATTGCCAGTACGGTATATAACCCAATACTAGTTCAAAACTAATATTAGATAAACCTTGTTGTAGTTCACGCATATTGTTAGATTGACAGCATGAAACAAGGCTCTGCCAACCGCGGAAGGTTGTAGTACGGTCACTGTTTCCGAACACAGTCGTCCACCTTGTTTCATGCTGTCAATCTAACAATATGCGTGTACATCAGTCTGATCGCATGTCTGATCGCATGTCTGACCGCATGTCTGACCATACACAGTACAACAAGGGTAAGCAAAGCTAGTCTGTCGCTACACTGAGTTTCATGCCTTCGCAATCAACAGGCAATCCTCCTGTTGCTGACCATACATGTATATCCGACCATCTCAGGGTTATTGCCAGACCAAAAGTGAAGGGGGGGGGGGGGGAGGGGGGTCATCGGACCCAAATATTTGTGATCTTTACCTCCATTTTGGTCGCTATTTTCACCGACGCCAGTAAGTCACCAACCAACTTCTATTCCATGTATTTATTCACCGGCCACTGGAACCCGCCTTGACTATGGGTATCAGAGGCAACATACTGATTATAGGAAGCAATAGAGAAGTTCTGCAGAATGAAAATGCGTACAAACTTTCGCTCGACGTCATGAAGTGAGAAACTTCGCACGAACTGTCACAACTTTGGACGCGAAACTTGCAGAGAGCGCGAATGAACTTTCGTGGGAAGTTTCGTGAGATCGGGTCATGGCGTACATGCACTTGGCGCGTGCAAACTACGAAAATGTGCAGAACACAAAGTTCGTTCGAAAATTCGAGCACATTTTCGCAAGGCCTGTCGCGAAACTTGGTTTGCCTGTCGAGAAACTTGGTTTGAATTTTCGTTTTGCAGAATCTCTCTATTTACTCATACAGTGTGGATCGGCTATAGGGTTGTCAGCTATAGGGTTGTCAGCTATAGGGTTGTCAGCTATAGGGTTGTCAGCTATAGGGTTGTCAGCTATAGGGTTGTCAGCTATAGGGTTGTCAGCTATAGGGTTGTCGGCTATAGGGTTGTCGGCTATAGGGTTGTCGGCTATAGGGTTGTCGTCTATAGGGTTGTCGTCTATAGGGTTGTCGGCTATAGGGTTGTCGGCTATAGGGTTGTCGGCTATAGGGTTGTCGGCTATAGGGTTGTCGGCTATAGGGTTGTCAGCTATAGGGTTGTCAGCTATAGGGTTGTCAGCTATAGGGTTGTCGGCTATAGGGTTGTCGGCTATAGGGTTGTCGGCTATAGGGTTGTCGGCTATAGGGTTGTCGGCTATAGGGTTGTCAGCTATAGGGTTGTCGGCTATAGGGTTGTCAGCTATAGGGTTGTCGGCTATAGGGTTGTCGGCTATAGTAATATACCTCTTATAGTGATCGTATTCTCAAATTCATTTTCGTAAACCACCCCTTTCTATACATATCGGATCGGCTATAGTAATAATCGGCTATAGTAATATATCGGCTATAATATACGATTTCTTTGTCAAAATGATTTCATTGCATACATTTTTCATCGGCCATAGTGATGATCATAAAACATTATACATCGTACATGTACACATGTTAACGTCGCGGGGAGAAGAATGTTTCTTTCTTGCGTTTGTACACATATTATTGCTTGGTGGAGAAATAGGGGTCCAATGTAGACTGGTGTGTCCTTCGTGGCTTCGTTGCGAGGAATGTCTCAACAGCGTTCACATGCTGGTGAACATGCTCGCCCGCTCCCGATGAATGGAGGGCATTTCGTACCGTGTCTAATGCCTTGAACACCTCTGCATAGGAAGGCGGTGGTGGAGGAGGCAGAGCTTCTCCTTCATCATCCTCTTCTGGAGTTTCTTCTTCTTCTGCAAGCATCTGAACGATTGTAGCGGTATCATCTGATGGTGGGCAGGCGACTGGCAGATTGTCGTCAAGCTCATTCAATTGTGCGATGTCGTTGTCCAGTTCAGGGAAGACATGCTGTGGCTCAGCAAGTTCCGGACCCTCGACTGCTTGCAGACCTGCATGACACCAACAGTTTCGGAAGTGCTGCACACTAGCAGAATCTGCGTCTCTCGATTCTCCTTGTGTTTTGCGTGAGACTATGCTGCGTTTCTTCATAAACCGTTGCACATAGGAATGCCAAGCA